TACAACCTTGGTATTTGGTCGCTGCTTGAAGAAGGTTGCTAAGCCTTTAAAAATTTTGCACATAGAGGATATGAAACAACATTTTTTTTTTAGGTTTTACATATACATTTGAATAACTAAAAAGATCATAAGTTACTACATCAATACCACAAAATTCTACTAATTTATCAAACTTAGTAATTAAGCTGTATTTGGGTCTAGAAATATGAAATTTCGAGCAAACAAAAGACACAACCTACCTCATTGAAATCTTGGTTCAAAAGAAAGAGATGGCATTACGTATGTTAGAAAGGCTAAGAAAATCACTAGGGACACATTCTGAGCTTCCGCCTGGTTATTCATGTCATATATAGAAGTGTATATAAGGGAGCATTTCCAAAAATGGAAAGAGGTAAGTGGGGTGTCACTGTGTTTGATTTATTACGTGAGCAATATGTAATTTGAACCAGTGCTGCATACAACATACCACGTAACACACAAAAATCAATGTTTATCTGTGTGTTTTAATATTTATTTTTAAATTAACAAATTGAGTAATGTATAATTCTAAAATTTGAATTATAATCTACAGTTTTATACTAAATTCATGAAATAGTAGTTACTTTTGAATGCGAGTCAACAAATGAGATGACATAGCCTTTCACCTGTGACCTGTCTCGAAAGGGTTAAGTTAGTTAATTGAAAATACAATCAATCATGGTGTAAGCCTAGCTGTAAAGATATTAATAGTAAAGAGTGTATATCTAAATGCTCTAGATGTTAGCCTAAAGGAAAGAAGTTAAATTAGTATCTTGAAATGCATAGAAGACCAAGAAGTGTTTCTAACAAACACTGCAATAAAGAACTAATTTTATCACAAACTTTTTGCAGGTCTTTGCTAGTTTCATATAATACCTTATTGACAGTTTTTTTCAAAGTACTTTGGTTACTGAGCAGCTGCTATTAAATAACCTCTCAATAATAAATTAAAACCAGGTTGTATTTCATTAGGGAAATTTTCAAAGTATCAGAGTCACATTTTTAAATGTTAGAGTAAATCTGTAGTACAGTGTAGGTCTGTATGTCACTTTAGTTCACAAAATATGTAATAATATTTTATTAATAAATTATTTAATTTTCTATGTGTTAGTAATTTTACTTAGATGATACACATAAGCAACTAAAACAGGTAACAACTTCTCATGTAACAGTATTTACACAAATAAGTCCAAGCACAGACAGATCTAAGAAACTTAACTCTTATATACCATATCAAATAAATAAACTCAGTATGTTTAAAGGCAAGGCCGATGTTTTGGTTATTGTTCAGCAGCTTAGATCTTTAATTAAAATATGTACATTTTAAAATGATTTGGTGCATCTTCTTTTAAGTCTTTACTAAGTCCAAGATCTTTACCGAGATCCTCAGATTATGAGGCACCCCCTAATCATTAGATCATGCTGGCTCAAAGCTGAATACTGGAAAAAAACGTTTGAAATGTATTTAGGAAGTTTTATAGATTACACAAAGGAAATTTAAGATTTTTGAGATGAGGAAAAGTATTTTTAGTCTTAACATGAAAATTACTTTGCACATGGACTATTCAAAACAATTACTCAATATATTAATGGACAAATCTTTATTTTAGTTTATCAAAAATACTTCTCTAAAAATATGATTTTTTTGTATGTAAAAGACTTGTAATATTAACTGAAAGACTGCCAAATTTTGTGAAGATACACACACTATCTTGAAAGTTAGAAGTATTAAATCTATAAAGACCTTAAACGAGTACAAAGAGTGAAACATTGTGTACTTTTCTTCTTTCTAATTAAAGCACAAGTTATTGACTTTTCTTGTCTAGTACTATTTTGTACCTGAACTACCACACTCTGAAACTAATTATGAATGGTGCTGTAAAAATTCAACAAAGAACTGAAAACACCTCTAACAGAAAGGATATTCAACTCATGACCTAAGGCTGAATTGTCATACAGACTTTTTGTGGTTTGCTTGTCACTTGTAATTAAGATTATTATTAATTTAATTCTTAGAAAAGACTTTTAGCTAAACGAACATTGACGTTTGAATACGGCACTTAAGGGTCTATCTGTATAGAATTATGCACATGGTTAGTACTGGCACAGTATGTTTTCAACTGTTTTGCATAGTTACATGCCAATCACATAAACAAAAAAAAGCACATATGTACACATCTGCCTATAATTTCACACTAACATGTTTTAATGCTACAGCTACAGCATAAATGGGAAACATTTTTAGGTTAGAAATGTTCACATTTTTATCAAACAAATTATGTATTCTTTAATAATCTGACAGGGTGAAAAAAAATTACCAAAGACTAAATTACTTATAAACTAATCACTTTCCAAAATCTCCTATGTCCAGTCTAGATTTTTCCAATACTATAAATTCCAGCCTGTATATGTTCAGTGTGTATGTCAAATAATGAAGGTCTATCACAATATCATGTCTTCCAAAATATTCAAGCTATATTTGTATGTAGCTGCCAGAAAGATGTTATTGTTGAAAGAAACTCAATCAATGTGCCATAAGGAAATGTATCACATAGCAAGAGTTGTTTGAAACTACACGTTACAAAGCTTAGTAATTTCTGGAAAATAAGGCTTCCCATAGGCTGAAGAACTAAAGTCAATTATTTTTTTCTGTTTATTCATAGGCATCCTTACTGTAGATACTGTTTATTCCAATATGGTTTCTTGTGCTCAGCTCCTCAAGTTAGACTACGATATATATACTATATATTTTCTTCTTTGGACATTACACTTGCTAACAGACTTTTGCATTAAAAGGAAATTCAATTTAGATAAAAAATTTGTGAAATTATTTTGCTGTATATTCTGAATCTCATAAATGGCTTCAAGTTGGCAAAAAACAAACTGGGAAACAATTGTTTAGAATAAGACAAATAAACCAACAATGACTCAAGAAAGAAAAAAATAATACTGATTTTCTTACCCTTCGTGTATTCAGGTACAGAGTGTGAAAATAAAGTAATTCAACTTACTCCATCTGTACGAAGAATCTTGCTCTTAAGCCAGGAAAGATAGTAGACACGGACTCGGGATTTCCTTCCAGAAATGGTCACCAATATGTTTTGTCCTTCTGAAACCTCCATCTGAAGAAACCTTCTTCTAGTAATTAAATTGTACACTTTTCCTTGGCCGCTACGATCCAGTAGCATAAGACCATGTTCTGTTCCTATCAAGAGGTTGACACCTAAAGAAAAACAAAAATAATCATGAACTAATTAATATGTTGTAGAAATTCTAGAAAAAATATTTATACACACACACAGGCCTATATATATTGTTACAACAGCGGAAGTCACATGACACTGCTGGTGCATTTGGCGATGGTGGCATGCATGAAATTTCTCGATTGATCATGAATTTTGTCGAAGCCTCTTCTTTAGTATATAAGCCTGGCAGAGAAAGTCTGTGGGATTGAATGAAGAGAGTTCCGGGTAATTTACGATACTGTTTCAAGCTAGTGTGTGTTTGAGATAGTGAATCGCTGTGATTTAGTGCATGTATTGTAGAAGCTGTTAAGTTTAAAGTGACGAGAAATGTACTGACTGCGGAATTACTGTGTACTAAAGTTTGTATTGAGGAAGAATAAAGTGGTTTAATCAAGAAAGGACTTGTATCGCTGAAGTTCCTCAGAAAGAATTTCTACTGAAATTAACAAGCAAGCAGATACGCAACAATATATATATATATATATATATATAATGCATAAAAAGATTGCGATCTTGTCATCCAGCAGTTGTGTTCAATAAAAATAATCTTGTACGTTTTTAAGGGAGAAGTATTCTATCAATGAATAGCATCAGATCAAAGACATGAAGATAGGGTAGGCAAGGTAGGCACTTCTTTGATATATAAATATGTATATATTTGATATTTTGTTTTTGCTTTTTGTTTAACTATTTACAAAAGAAAGATCAATAATGCTCATCATTTTATTTGTGCAAGACATCATTTTTAACAAATCCAAGCAGACACAGACAATCCTATTGATCAAATAGACAGGGAATAAGCATGGCACTGAACTGCCTTACCTCTATAGTTGGATACTGAACTCATTGTAATATATTCCATGGGGTGTTTCTATTGCAGTTGAAATTCTTAATTATTTAAACTAATACAAGCAAATATCAGTACCATAGAACAATACTAGTTTATATTTTATGCATTTTAAATAATACAATGTGGCCTGACAGTAATGCCCACTCAGCTTTCATACACGTCACCAATCATAAATATCTTTAGGTTATCTAATGTTACGTAAATAACTGTCAAAATCATTCAGTGCTATTCTTCTTATTAATTACTGATAATTTAATCACAAAATCAAGTCTTAGTAATTAAATAATGTTGCAGAAAGAACTGTCAAAATAATTCATTGCATTTATTTTCATGTGTAATTAATTATAATTAAATAATAAAATCAAGTCTTATTGGCATCAAAATGTTGCAGAAAGAACTGACAAAATGATTCAGTGTTTTCATTTTTCTGAGTAAATAAATCATGAAAAAAGTCTTACCCCAAAGAGCAGCACAGAGTATTTCAGAATTGAACCTCTTCTTGTATTTGCGAATCTCAGGTGTTTCAGTTGAAGGTTCATGAGAGCTGGGTGCTACATTAACATTGATGTGTGATTCATGGCGGGGAGAAGGACCTGACCCTCCTGCTCCAAACCCAAAGGTCAAGAAGGAACGTTGCTTGTGTTGTAAGTGTGGGGGAGTTTTACTTACTGCTTGCCTGTACTATAGATAAATAATAAAATTTCAACAGTTACCTCATAGAAAAATAATTGATTATGGTAAAAAAAGTTAGAGAAACTGATTATGTTAAATACGAGAAAATAATTTTTGAATACTTTAAAAAGAATTTTAACCTGAATAACTAACAACAGAAGCTATACAGTTTTCTTCAAGAGTGCACATAAATATATATACAACATTAATTTTATCATTAACTACGAATCCAAAAAGCAAACTAGCTGCAACAAATAGGTATCATTACAAGATAGGGTAAGAGTTAAAAATTTGGTATTTATGATAAAAAAAAAGTAATTCTAGCAGTAGGCTTACAAATATTTTATTAGTTGTAATGTTAACAATTCACACTGAAATTCAGCAACACTTCATGACACAATTACACTGTAAGTGGTATGAGGATCGCTGTGTCACAAAACAGAAAAGATCAGTAAAATGACTGGCCACAGAGCTGAAGTTATAAAAACTAGCCTGCTTTCCCAAATATCTTAGTTAACATTTTCCTAAATTGAAAATTTATTTCCAATAGATACTTACCCCCATTCACAAAATAGCTTTTCTCAAGTAGAACTGCCCTCTATTGGTGCAAATTTTGAATGCCCACTACTAGCATCCTACCTCCTGCATATCCACATGTAAATGATAATACCACAGCTCTCCATCAATAAGAGCGCAGTACAACCCCTATCATAACCACTGCCCTCTCCACAGTTGTACTCATTAATCAATTTGAAATTGGTCATAGGACCTAACCATATACAACTGGAAGTGGGGAGAGTGAGAGGAGGTAAGTAGCTATCAGAAATATCTTTAAAGTTTAGGGAAATGTCAACTTGCAATATGATATCCTACCTCCACTCACTGAGTAGCTAGAATCCTACGCTGAACTGGTGGAGGGCTGATGGAAAAATGATCGCCCTTTAGGAAGTGCTCAAAGAAAGAACACGAGGTGTGGAACCAAAAGAGAAAACATCACATCTCAGTGGGAGACTGCACCACATCTGATCCAGGTATATTCCTCGCTCTTTTATGAACATAAAAGGTGGAAAAACATGAAGGAATCCCATAATATGTATTACCTATTAATGGGATCTCTGGGTGCCAAGTGACTAGGGTGCAACAGACAGTAGTGGTAGTTTTAGCTCACCCAACATCTGGCAGCATTTGGAACTGTACATTGATTCTGTGGTAGAAAGACGGTTACCTACCTCTTCACCTCCAAACAGGAATTGGTAGGGAAGACAAGCTTTTTTACTCAAATCTGTCTCTACTTATGCACATTTTCAACCAAACCAACACCTGATCTATCATGAACTGACATCCAACAGATGGTAGGAAGATGGAAAAACCCTGATGATATTACATCTCCAGTCCAAAACCTGGTGGCATTGGATATGTTTCTTCCAATCTGCAGTAGAGGGAAGATACCCAACCATACAGAAGTGGGAATACATGTGTTGCATTCAGCTACAACCAACACCAGATCCACGGGGAACCGACATCTAGCAGATGGTAGGAAGAAAGACTGCAAACCTGGGGTGCATCAGGCATCTTCAACCAATACCTAACCCCCAAAGATATTGATATGTAGGAATGATTTGACCAGTATCCAATTACCTGAAACCTCTTGAGCATTGAGATGTGCACCACAAACCACAAGGGAAGCATTTGTAAAAAGATGACAATTCATTTGAGGAGGTGGAAGAGGAACTCTGATGAATTATTGGTCCAATCCAGCTACCAAGCAAATTCAGCCTGTAAATAGGGAGGCAGGGTAAGAGGAGCATCTAAGGGATCCCAAATGAGGCTCGACTGGTTGAATAACACCCACTGAAGGTGATGCATGTGGGTGTGAACCAAGGAGAATGAGGGCTCCAAGAGAAGCCCATGTACCCAAAAGAGATAGTGTTTCTCATGAGGCTGACAGACTGAGATGTTCAACATCCCATAAACCAAGGGGAGAAGGCTAGGCCTGACTGATGAGGGAATTGAAAAACACACCCAGATGAATCAGATGTTATGTGGGTGTGAGAAACAACTTCCCAATCTTGATGAGCCAAACCCTCTCTGACAGCCTCTTGAAAAAGAAACTGAGTATGAACAGTAGATTCAACTTGAGGGGAAGCCAAAAGTAGCCAGTCGTCCATGTAATGGTGGAAACGAAGCCCTCTGGCATGAAGCATTTGAGCAAACAACCCAACTATTCAGCAGAAGGCATAAGGAGCCAATGCCAGGTCATATGGTACAGCCTAAAACTGATAAACACGCCATGATAAACAAAACATGGGAAATGCAGGGATACCTGGGAGATGTGAATGTGTAAAAAGACATCTGACACGTCGACCTTTGTCATCCACAATTAGGGAGTGAAAACTTACCGAAGGGTTAAGTAAGACTCCATAGTACATTTGGGTACAATCAGGAAACAGTTCATAGAGGATAAATCTATAAATGGTCACCATTTTAGTGTCATTTTGGGTATGACGAACAGATGGGAGTAAAACACAGGTTGAGGGCCTCTTTTCGAAGTAATTCCCAAACCACCTCCTGTAGACGCTGGTAAGAAACAGGATCCCTTGGTGGGGTGAAGGAAATTGGATGAGGAGACAATAGAGGAGGGGAATGGAAGTAAAGGACCAGGCCCTCTGAAAGAACCTGAGGATCAATGGATCCATTGTAAATGGTGTCCACATATAGCAAAAATGGAAAATCCTGGCTCCAACTCTGGGACCAATTCATTGATGCTGCAATCCTATGAAATGCCTTTAAGTAAAAACTCGACTGTGAATGAATGAAGAATGAGAAGCCTGGAATAGCAAACGGGTGGATGGGAGACAAAAAAAACAGTAGGATGAGGTGGGGATAAACAGCAAGCTAACAAGGATAATGAATTTTGCAGATGGGTGGACTCAATTTGGGCCTCTAATGAGTCAGGAAAAACCCCAAACACCTCTTTATGTAAAAAAAGTGCCATGTGAAAGTCATACTGAGGAGCAGCAGGTAAACATAGCTGAGAAAGAATGGCATTAGAAGGTCCCAAAAGCATATCAACCACATCTAAAGAGCCAGGACCATAGACAAAAGATGTGCCATTGTAGTAAGGAGAAGACTGCAAACATCATCTGAAAAACCCTTCAGGATAAAAGTGAATTTCCTGAGACAGCAAGTGCATAGTCGATAAAGCATGCAGAATTGTGGACAACAGTTTGATAAGGGAAATTTGAGGTTGCGATAAATTCATCAATGCATTAGGGTTCAAACCCTAGAATATAATGAGAGATTCCAAACACTGGGAATCAAAATAAGGGAAGGAAGATATATGAAATGCATAAGCATGATCTTCAGATGTACAAGGCAAACGAGGCATACTAACCCCCAACTGAAATTGATCCCCAAAATGCTGGGCATGAACCCCAACATCAGATGAGGGAGGGAACAACAAATATTGGCCCACAGGTTCTTCACCAAGGAGGGCAGGTTGAAAATCATAGGAAACATGATTAATTAATTCCACAAATCTGGGAAGGAACATTGATTTATGAATTCTCTGGTAGAGGCTCAGTATGAAAACTCATCTTGTAACTTCTTACTTCATCAGAAGTGCTTTTGTCCTGATGCTTCTGCTGGGGTGATGACTGTTGTATAGGAGATGGGGTGTTTTGGGGAAGGAGATCAGGAAGCACACCACTTGATCGTCCACTGATGTTCCCTGAAGAACTCTGGGTAGACTCTTCATGCTGTCGACTAGCACCTTCTTCTGAAGGGGAAGTTGTATGATTCATATGGTCCCTCTCTCTTTCCCATTCATTCTGAAAAAGGATGCTCTCAATTTAAAAAAAAGGGTTACAAAACACTGAACATGATTTGTTTGTAATATATATATATATATATAGATATATATACACAGCCCTATATAATTATATGGATCTGTTTAAAATAAATAGAACAGTCAGTTATATTAAGGTTTGCAATTGCAAAGCATTTATGTCAATAACAAGCAAAAAATAATAGAGAAAAATGATCAACATTTTGGTCTTGAAAGATTTATTTGTGGTGAAATTATAAAAAAGTTCTCTTTACACATGATAAAGTTATGTTTCAAAATAGGTGTTTAATATTTAACAGGAACACATTTACATTTCTTTCATATTTTTTCATCTCTTTAACAAGATTATGGCTTTAATACATCTTTAACTCTCTACCTGATAATAAATCCACAGCTGAACAAAAATAAGCATCTAATAACTGTTGAGATAAAGATTACGGTGGAATTCAAGCCATACAAGAAATAATCTTTCATATATGAAACTACATATACTACAGCAGTCAGCATGATACTACAATGGTTATGATGTCATTTAAAACTTTGGTTCTCAAAAACACAAGTAATAATATTTCTCAGCAGCTAATATACTTTAAATGAAGTTATAAAAGGAACATATTAAGCCACAGCTAAAATATCACAAACTAAAGCTTACTATGTAATCTAACTTTTTGGCTCTTAAAAGACATAATTAAACATTCACGGAAGATTTAAGAGCATCTACATAAAACTATTTTTATACACAAACTTACACTTATCTCCCACCAACCCCCTATTAACATCATAAATTTCTTAAAACACTACAGGACATTCAAAATTTATTTAACCATTTTTACTTTAATGAGTAATAAATTAACAAAAAACAACTGCAAGGTGAATACTATAACATTATATCCACTACATGATAACAACAGCACTTATAATAGGAAGAGATAGCATTAAGGGAGAATAAAAATATTTGAGATGGCATATAAGAATGGGAAAAAGTTTGCAAGTATGACACAAATTTCAAATATATCTGAACATGTAGTACAAAATGAGTCCTTGTTGGTCAAAGTGGTGCTGTCAGTACATATACACAAGTCAGACTATCACACCTGAATGTTGAAGTAGAAGTAATGTGTAGACATCTTGTAGGCTGAAGTTACCTAGATTGCTGTTTTTCAAATACAATCTGTTTTATAACTGAATCTCTTTCTTGAGCCTTCATAACTATTACTGGTAATATTCTAAATGACTAAATGACACCTCACACTTTGTGAAATATGAAGGTCCAATATTTATGTCACAATGGCTTATACTGGTGTTAGTGCATACTTGTTACATTTCTGAAAGTCAAATGTTAGTGTGAACTATAAATGATTAGCCTTTCTGGAGAAAAGTATTCACGTTTAGAAACTGAAAATACATGAAAAATGAATGTTTTTGTTATAAGAATTAAAGGAAGTCAGAGTATTTAAAAGGTCAATACAAAGATAAAGAGATTTTAGATAAAAGATATCCTTTATAGGTTCCATGTAAAACAAACTGAAAGTTAAGAATGGCTAAAATTCAGGGATAAAGGAAAATAAGTTTATTCTCTACGTCTAACTGTGTTAACTCAGTATCATCATGCAAACAGGGTAAAAAATAATATGAAATTACTTAAACAAATTAAAAAATGAATTAAATATAAGAGAATATTTAGAAATTGTTAAAACAAATTGATGAGTTTGAATAAAAATTTAGGTCCAGGTGCCAGGGCAAAAGATTTTCTGGAAGTTGATTTTGTAAATGGCATTACTGCATAATATGTTAATTACATATGTTAAGTACATAAAGCAACCTCATGTCCTTCATCTCCTGAAGATGGTAGATCATTTTGTCCACCAAAACATAGAGAATGGGTTTCTTTTTATTTTTAACTTTTACAAACAAAATTATTGTGCATGTGGAAATATTGGTGTTGTCATAATTTTATGTTTTATATATATATTGAAAGTATGCACAAGGGCTGTCAGGCTAATGTATAGAAACTTAACATTATTTTCTTCATGCAAAGCTACACAATGAGCTATATGCACTCTATCCACCTTGGGGAATTAAACCCCAGATTTTAGAGTTGTAAGCCTGTCAACTTATCACTTTTCCACCAGGGAATAAAACTCAATATAAATATATCATTACTACACTATCCCTCCAATAGTTAAAACTTCCCTCAAAAGATCATGACAACCTCAATGGTACAAAAATGGTTCATGTTTCTGTAGCTGATTTCATTTTGGATTTACTCATACATTTACTGGTTACAGGCTTTTTATTCATTTAACTTTTTTTTGTGTGTGATATTTCTACATCCTCTCAAAATTAAAAACTTCCTGCAGTGCATAAAACAAAAAAAAATCTGTCAACCTAATGTAGAAAATTAAAACTATGAGAGCATAAAAACAAAATAAATTCTAGATTAATAACAAACGAATCAAGTAATTAAAAAAATTATATAACTTTAAAAGTAGATAACAGAGAAAAATAAGGAATCTCAAATAAATAATACCAGAATATTTTTTCTAAACAACAAAATACATAGCAGATATCATAATTTGACATTAGTTTGCTTCAACTTTCATGAGCTGTTTTTGTAAAGGTGATATTTTTCTGTAAATAACAAAAGTACTTTTGTTATTTAGTTTTGTGGTAAAACTACAGTGCAAATACAAAGTAAACAAAATACAAAAAAGAAAAGAAAAACAGAACAGAATAAGAAAAACAAAAAAATAAAATAAGAGAATTTGGTAATGCCCCATGTTCCTACCAACCTGACTATTGTTTCTAGTTTGCCCCTGCAAGAAAACATGCTCTTTTCTCTGAGACTCTCCATTATGAACAGATGATGAGGCCACAGAGATTGGGGATGAATAAGTTTTATGTAGTGCAGACTGTTCTTTCCTGTCAGATCTTTGTTTGGCTTTTTCAGCCCTTTCTATACCACCAGAATCCCTTTTGCGATGGTTTTTCTCAACTTCACTACTAGATCTCACTCGTCCACCTCGATCTTTACCATTTTGTTCTCGCTTTGACCGCTCACCTTCTTTTTTGTTTGACTGATTCTGTAATTTTTGGTTGAAAATGTTACTACAATGGAGCTCTTAATGGTGTTCAAATCCCCCAAAACTGGTCAATATCCAAATTAACTCAAGTATCAGTATTTATAGTTCAGTAAATGTAACATTTAAGCATTTACTTGAATAAAACAACATCAAAAGCATTTTTTCTAAGGTATGAGCACAATGCTTTGCTACATTTGCTATTCTGTGAAATAGATATAACAAAAAAAAATTCTTAGCTCATTCCTTTCCTACAAAAAATTAAAAAATGATACTGTCAATAATATAAATAACTAATGTTTGTACTTGCTGCACTGTCCTGACTACCACTATCTGTAAAACCAACTGCAAAATTGACAAGCCTCTGATACTGACGTAACAACTGAAAACCAAACAGTTATCTTTAATATTTTGTGATGAGGAGGAAACTGACACCAGGCATGACTTTAATCAAAATTCTGCTTTTCTAACAGATGCTACAGCCAGCTAAGCTACTTGCCTTCGAATGATGAACGTTTGTGGACTAACTTCACTGGTTTTTGAAAACAAGATTCTATGACTTATGTAGCCAAATTCTGTGTTTTCAAACCAGTTAAATGAGAAATGATTCTTGTGGCATTCTAAGCCAGGTAACTGAACTGGTTAAAGCATTCTTCATTAAGAAAAAACTCTTAGGTTCCATTCTTGCCTAGTCCAATTTTTTCTTCTTCATAAACTTAAAAAAAATTCCATTGCTAAAATCTCTAAGACTCAAAAGTAATTCAGCACATTCCAGTTTCCAAAAAGATTAGCTAAAATCAACTATGGGCTTTAGAAGCTGAGAATCATAATTCAGAATTCTTGCTCAAATCTGTGGTCACTAGCAAAAAAAAAAAAACTTAAATACCAGAACTATCCATAAAATTTCAAATTTTTAATTTTTATATTTTAATAACAAGTCTATAGTAATGTGTAAAAATAGTTTTTTTCAATAAAAGCTTGTACCTATGATTTCTTTAAACAATGAGGGAAATCATAATTAGTGGAAACTGACAGATGTGCCTCTAACCTTTTAACTTTTATGCTTGTTATCTATATGTAAACACAAAAGACTTTACTCACTTTTCTAACCACTAGAGTTTTGTCATTACTGTCATCTTCATCTGGAGTAGGAGGCAGCGGTCTGTTTGGTGCTTGAATTGCTGCAGGATCTGGAAATAAATTATTCATAAAGTTGTCAATATTCCTTTACAAAAACACCTACTTAAGTGTTATATTTATTTGTAATATAAAGCAAAACATAAAAGGTTTAAATACATTACACATTTCAAAACAACACCATTATATTAACCTTTTCGTAACAGTGATACATTTCATGTCACCTCGACTGGGGAAGAACATTTATGCAACAATACATACGGTAACTGAAATATCATCATAAAGCCTAGTAATATTTTTTTAAAGATGATAAGTATCTTTTAACAAAAATAACATTATTTTAATTACTTCTTTTTAATAAAAATATGTTAGTTATCTATAGTAGTTATTTACACTCAAACTCTGAATAGCTCGAGTGCAAGATGATTTTCATTTTAAGTTTGTTTGGTTGAAGTTAAGCATAAAGCTACAAAATGGGCTATCTGTGGTCTGCCCACAACGAGTATCAAAACCCACTTTCTAGCATTTTAAGTCTGTAGACATACCGCTGTGCCACTGGGGGGGGGGGGGCTTCATTTAAAGTATAAAAATACTTTTTTTCATCTTATAGTTTTCATATTTCAATTACATAAACTCTAGAACCTCCTAAATGAATATCAAAATGTAAATGTTTGTTTCTCATTTTCTCTACCATATCATTAACTCTAGCTGTTATCATCAATGCACAATGCAATGTAATGATTAAATGTAGGAAACAGCAAAAAGTACACACCTTTCAGTTTTTTTTTTGTAGAATATCTTTAAATATCTTCTTTTGGTTATATCTGTAATTTCAGGTCTTTTCCTTTTCACATATAGTTAATTTTTAATGATTTATTGTCCTTTACCATTTATTATTCATCTTGACACAAGTCAATGGTGCCCTAGGGCATATTTCCGTATTTCTGGCAGAGATGTGCACCCCAAGAATAAAATGTTTGTGCACCACGTAATATTGTAAGCCTTGAGAACTGACACTAAGAATGATGTATATTTAAAAAATGTTTAAACCTTTCAATTATGCACTTTAAAACACAAATAATATAAAATTAACTAAAATATAAAAGTAAGACCTAAGTCCAATTTATCTGTATCTCTTAGCTATAACATATTTAGGTAAGAAACAACCATAAGTGCTATAGTTCATCAAGCTGCCAACAACATTACAGGCAGCTACATGTACCTTGTGACAAAAACTGCATGGCAATTTCAAAGTAACCATTGTTGGATTATAGTATAAAATGAGCTCTTTCTAATGACTATATAAATATACATGTAACTCTACATGTAGGCTACAAAGCTCAAACAAATCTATTGAAGGTGGTTGACAAAATTTATTACTTGTTTCAACTGCATTCATCCAAAGAACTTTAAAAGATACATCTCAATAGGTTAAGTAAACATCTTATTGTCTAGACTTACATCTACACAACTGGAACTATATTATTGAAGATACATAGTGACAAAGTAGAGAATTTTCATAGCTCGTGGGTCATGTAACAATAAATCTGAATCTTTAAGTAGTTCTTTTTAAAGGTTTCTTTTGAAATAAAGGACTTAAACCTTACATAATATAAAACTTTGATTCATAACATACATCATAATGTTAATTTCATTCACAAATATCGATAGTAAAGGTGTTTAATTGAAGTTTGAATGTAACTCATTTACTTCTTCGGGAAGCTGTTTAAAGGGGTACCCATGTTGAAAGGGATAAAAGCTGAGCAGAACAATTTTTCATATTCTTCTCCTTCTGAACATCTTCCAGAGTAATGTATATACATTAATTATGTGTAAACAGCATATATCACAATTAAGTCATTATTTTAAAATACAGTCTAATTAAAAGTATAATGATAATCTGAAGAACTCGTTTTTAAATAAAATAAAAATTCAAAATATGACAAACAGATACCTTTTGAAATTGTAATGCTTTTACTGCTATCATTACTATAGCCATCTGGAGGCCTGAAAAAAACACAACTTGCATCAACAAATAATGTCTGTATTACTCAAAAATAAATTACACATGTTGACCATCATTATTAGAAGATTTTTTTACATAGTTAACAAGTAATTTCATTGGTGACTGCCCATAACAAATTTTGAAAGTAGTTACAATATGAATGCATATTCAGCAAGGTGTTAATTAGAATCTCTAGAGTTATAACTTTATTATCATATGACATCATTGGAATTTTAAAAAACAGTAACATTTACTCTCTTCTGTCATACATTACATTCACATTTTAAAATTGTTTTTAAAAGTTTTACAAAGTTTGTACAAGCAGTTTATGGTCTAGCATCTATCACTAAAACAGGTGTTTGAAACCAAGTTCTACATAAGTATGAAGAGTTAATACAGTTGTTATCACTATCTTCACTTAACAGAAAGTTTACCAACAATTGATCATTACACACATGAATGTTTACTCAAGAAGATTTTCTAGTAAAATGTGTTCTAGAAAGTTTTTATTTTCTAATCTTTTGTAGTTTAATTTCACAGCATCTCATGTGGTTAACTAAAAGCTATATGCAGAGAAAAGGTTTCTGTCTGTATTATATAACTTTAAAAATATTTTACTCTCTTGTTGTATTCAAATCCTCTGTATTATACTTTCAAATTAAATTTCTTTGTATTATACGTATGACATTACATTGTTGTCTTACTATACTTTTATTTTTACCTTACTTCCAATAAATTTAACACTGAACCTTTGAGACAAGTAGAGTGGCTTTGCTAGGTCAGTCCTTACTACCTAATTCTGGCAGTGGACAAATCCTGCTAAAGTTATACCAGAAAAGATTTTATCTTATGCTGAATCCAATGGAGTATTAGGTTTTAAAAATTACATCAAGATGAGGAAGATATGATAATTTTGTCAGAGATGATGCGATGAAATTGTTACCACAAGCTATGCTGTGGTCATGGATGATATAATGTATAATAAGAATCCACACTACCAAGCTTAGACTCTACTACCCGTATATATGAATGTTGCTTGAATGTAGCTCTCATGTTTGAAATTTCTGCCTCTCTGAAGCTCACTTGCAATTGCAAGGTGATCTACATATTACAAACATAGTCAATGTAGATGTAATTATAATGAAATACTAGTGACTGCAAAGATAAATCTTAAAAGCATACTGGGCATCTTTCAGTACTGGTGTGGAAAGCTTGCTTTCTGACAGCCAGATCAAAAGCAAGATTAGCAATCTGAAATAAGCTAGGAAAAGACAAATTTTGTTGTTTTGCCTATAATCTTGTATCACTACAGCAGTAATGTTATCAGAGAATAAAAATGAACAGCACGCCATATGCTTACTTTTGAATTTCCAAATCCAATTACCTAGACAACTACTTGGGAGCCTATGGTCTCTTTCGAGCATGTAGATGAAGTTGGGTTGGACTGTCTGTAACCTGCTGCTTGCGCAGGTTTAATGAAGATGAATGCTGCCATGGCAACAGAAAGTAAAGGCACCACATGCTTCATAAGAAAATGTTGAGGCAAAGGAGGGTGTTATAGAACATTGTTGGTCAGAAGCAAATTGTGATAACAGGGCAAACATGATCAAGTTTGGACCAGGTGAAAAGTATAAGTGACCATTTGGTTTTCTGAAAACAATATGGAAAACTGATCCTCGCATCAAGCTCCACACAACTTACTACTCAATTTCTTAGGTTTCTAAATTTAACCAACCCTCACCCACATGACATATTAGTAAAATTTTCTCTACTTGACCCAGTGATTCAGTTGTAGTAACACACCAAATATATTTTTCACTATCATGCTTTATACAAAGTTCTATTAACAAAAAGCAAACAAAAAACACTTTTGAGTATTTGTAAAATAACTGTACAAGCTTTTCCCATGAATTTTATGATTGTTATTGTCAATACTATTTTAATAAATGCATTTTTAGATATTTGCTACATAAAAGCATAAAAACATTCATTAAACATAAACATACAGTGGTCTTGGTGGGTCAGAAGCCAGTAAAGTTCCATCATTTTGAACATGATTCTCATCTTCCTCTTCATCGGAATCTACAGGTGGTTTCGTGGAAAGAGCTTGTTCTGGTAGGTTACCATTCTGATGGGCAGGATGTTCACTAATCACTTTTGCCGATCCTGCAAATGGACCTCTACCACTCATTCTTTTTGCAGCTCCACTGCTATGGCTTCCTGAGGCCAGCTCATTCAGCTGAGCTGCTAACACTTCCAGATCCTTGAGGAAAAGAAAACTGGATATTGTATGTGATAGTAATGTCTTGTACCTAATTCTATTTCACTGTCAGAATATATAAAGGAATCTCTGAAAAACAAAATATTTTTCTTTTTTTTTACTAACCTAATATTACAAAAGGTGTTAAAAATAAAAACTTTCATACTTTTACTTCAAATAGTAAAAAAAAAAAAAACTCCTTATATACTGTTACCATACAAGTACTACAGTTGTTTTATACTCTACGAAATTTTTTGTCAGATTGTTCTGAAAACATAAATACAGGCAGTATAACTAGTATATCCAGACCCTTAACCCGATGACCACCGGCTACTAACTTTCTGAGTAGCCAATGCAAGTCTTGCGATACTTTGTTCCAACAATAAAACTAGTGGATGAAATTGTTTGAAACTTCATAAGAACTTTCATAGATGCACGTAGCTTAAAAAACATAAAGCTTGTTATTTTTGATAAATTTAGTTTTCTTTGCATTATGATCTTTAATATCTTGGAACATTAGGAAATGGTATTTATAAGAAATTATTATGATATTTATATTTGTTCCAGGTTTGAACTTATTACTTTTTATCGTCTATAAAATGCAAATTTTGTCTATTTTTTTAAATAATCACGTACTCTCCTTATGGTTTCAAGTAATATACAAGACCCGAAAATAATATTTCTAAGTAAACCTAAACAATAAATGAGTATTTGTAATTTTAACTAGGCTTTCATGTTTATATATATGTACATAAAAACATTTTAATTTTGTTTCATAAATGTGTTTTTATTTCAAGTTTACGTTAATGTTTCATTGCAGCAGTACTTTGTTTGTTGTGCGAAAAAAATTGTGAGGTTAGCAGCGTGAACTTCGTACATTTGCCGTAAACTATCATGTACGTTGGTAGTCACTCTCGTTCAGTCCAGCACAGGCACATTTGAGCATTACTGTAGATATGATAGTAAGAAAGCTTTTTGGTACTTGAATATTATTTCTTTGAACTTTCAAACAAGTTTATTTTAACATATGTCCTTATATGTTGATTCACTATACAAACAAAACTAATTGCTACTACTAGTGAATGCAATTTATAGTTTACAGCACAGATGGTTTGAATAACACTGCCTGACCCTAGTTACATGATACATCCTGTTACAAGAGATTACCAAATGATACATATGCCATAAATTACAAAGAAAATTACTTTACAGCACTTAAAATATTAGTCCTAGTCACATTCCTCTCATTATTGGCAAGACTTATGTTAGAATTTGAAACTTAAGCTCTTCAATGTATTGACAACCCAACTATGAGAATGTCATAACTTTCCCTGTATTATTGAGATGAATGTGTTTAGTCTGTTTCACAACCAACATATGGGTTTTGTTGTCACTTGTACACTGAGTTTCAAACCATTTGCAAAATATCAGAATAAACTTTTTATATAACAGTTAGACTGTTTTAATTCTAAAGCAACAACAGAAGTGTGGGTCTTACTACAAAGTAAAGATTGTAAGAAGGAAAAAATATAAAATTCTTATGTGGTACTGGTACTAGTAGTAGTATGTACAAATCACACAAGTTTATCATTCTAAATACTGAATCATATTTTTATTGTGAACTAAATATAAAATTATGCTACATTATTGAACTTAAAACTATTAATTTAAATGCAAAAAATATAAAAAAATCCCAAACTCTTTCAGTTCAAAGTACTAAGCCTAATTCACCATGCCCTTGCCATTCGATAGATCTTAACCCTAACATTCATGGATCAACTTCTTTCCTAAAAAATATATATATATTTTGAGTTAATTTTTCAATAGAATGATTAATATAAATAGATATACGATACAGCATGACTTAAATTACTAGAGAAAAATAATAAAAGGCACATACATCCCATGCAGATTTTTCTAGAAGCAAATTTTCTGAGGCTTATAAAATGGCAGTTACTATAATAAGCACCTTTCACATTCATATTGTAAAATCCAAAGAAAAACGTTTTGTCATGTGCTTTGCTCATCATCCTATGATTTGTCGAACGTGAAATACAGTAATTGGAATAACATGGTACTGAAATTGACACTTTCGACTAAGATTGGCTAAAAGTTTTACAACTGAGGTTTAACATGCCCAGATGCTGTTTTATAAAGAAAACAGACTAGAAAAAGGTTTATATACCAATCACAGATGGCAGGACCAGCACTAAAGTACAATGAAAACATTTTTTAAAAATGTTGAAAAAAAATTCTTCTTAGAGGGTGCTTATTTATAGTCTCAAACGTATTTTGGAATTTTTAAAATTAAATTTCTCTTTAAACTACATTAATAATACAATTTTGTACAAATAATTGAGTATTATGCTACTATTTACAAAAACAAAATTTGAAATCCAATAAAAGATAAGTTCTCTATAATTTTTTTCAACTCACAAATGTGATTTTGCCCTCATGATAAGAAAAAAATGGCCCCGGTAGGTAAAGGGTTAAAAAGGAAACATCTTTGGCCCATGGTTCAAAAATAGCAGAGAAGTTAGTATCTGATAAGTCAGACAAACCTGTTGCCAAATATTGTTTTACTCTTAAAAGAACATTATCTTGTATAACATAATACTTCTCATTTTCTGTTACTGTTCTAGAAAAGCAAGATTAACCTCTTCTAATGGATTCTCATAAGAAGTGAGCAACTTTTGTTTCAGTTAAAATCAATTCTGCATTGCAATTATAATATATTAAAATGTATCTTTCCTACAGCACCGAATACTTAATTTGTGTTTAACTAATATACTACAACTTTCTGTAACACTACCTCATTCTGTGATTTTTCTCTAATAAAACAATATACAGGTAATTAATGCCTTTTACTGTGTAAAAAGTAGTCGTTTCTTGAAACTGTGATATGAAATTCACAAACAAAGCATTTATTGTATTCTAATTTTTTATATCAATTGATAATAATATTTGAGTTCTAAACTATTAACTACTAAATGCTGTCTTATAACAGAGCATTAATTCCTAAACAAATGATAGTAAACTTAATATGTTGTATTTGCTGTAAAAATACTACCCTTCTTTTTTTTCAATTTGAGACTAGTTATTTCATCCGATTTACTTTGGCTTTACTAAAAAAAAAAACATTAAAGATCTCACCTCTGGTCTACGAATAGGTGATTTGCTAAACAAGCCAGAGTTCCGAGCTTGTGGTACCTTTGAAGGTTGAACTGGCTGGACATTTCGAGGTGGTTTGTGCATTCTTTCTTTACGGTCTTCTTCCACTGGGATTGGAGGAAGTGGTTTGCTAGGTGGTGGAGGATCAGGGGCAACTACAGCAAAATAAATGACAAAATGAAACTGCTTGACTGAAGAGAGTAAAATTAATTCTTATGAAACTGTTTTCATTAATAAAATTTACAAATTTTCAAACTATACATTTAAAGAAGTAGAGATTTTCAAAAACAATGCATAATCTAGAAAACAAAATACATATTGGAAGTTTAATTATGCTACACATTCTGGTTAAAGTGCAGAAAGCTTTATTGAAGACTTGTTGATGACTGTGTTGATTTTAAAAAGTACGAGGAAAAGCTGAATCTAAAAAGAAATCAACAGTTACCATATTTTTCTTTGATAAATTCTGAAATGCGAAGTTGAAAAAATTATGCCTATAAATTGGAAACTGCAGAAATTGTTTTTTTCTACATGTCTATTAACATGAATCAAAAATCATCTCAGAATTACAGAGTAAGTGGAAACTCTCTTATTTATAATATGTTAGAATATTTATTACAAAATTATTTATTTCATCAATGGGAAGTTCTCATACTACTTGCCATTTTTTGTTTTTATATAAACATTAAAACTAAAAAACTCACACTTGACAAATTGTGTCTTACACAAGTATGCATATGATCACTTTTTTTCAACTTATTAACTCCTACATGACCAGTTACATGAATATCTGATCATTACCCACTTGTATGTGATTTTGAAGTTGATATTTAAAACTGCTTGTAGAGATTTTTACAGTTACTAGTGGTACAAAATCTACCATCTACCAACAAAACAAGTATTTGAAACTATGCTCTACACCAGCATGAAAATAATGAATAGAATTTTTAACTGATAAAACTCTTTATGAACAACTTAAAAAAATCTTTGTTTGGTTTACCAGATTTCACCCACCTACATTTCTTGTTGAATATCTCATTTTGAATGCTAATGTAAATCTTTATCTAGTTCGTGACAGCAATGCAAAACTTAAATCTCCAACAATAAATGAAAGTAGTCAACACCTTTACACCTTCCATCTACATCTTGTGTTAACTCTCCAAACACAAATTTGTTAAAGTGCACAGGTTACAACCTTAGTACAGTATTAAATTCAAAACTTAATTAAACAACTTTATTATCAATGTATATCACTAAATTTGACATCAAAATATATTTCAAATTTTAATATTATACAAGTTTTACGTTCTTAATTTCAAAACAAAATATTTAAATAAGTTCTCAATATTCACTTCTGTTTATCACAAAAAGATTCTTTGCTATGAATTACCAATTTTAGATTTTCTTTGCACCCCATTATATTTTCTAAGTTTCTGAAAGCCTTATGTACATTAGGTATCCCAAGCTAAAATATAAATCTGTAATTAACTCTATCGAGAACGCTTTCACATTCCTCTTTTTGGTAATGCTCAACAATATACATCATCGCCTAGTAACAAAACTGTAACCTGATTGTTCTTAGGCCAACAGTGGTGTTTATGTTGAATGCTCAATATTCATGTTGCTTTGTTAGAAAGGTTTGTTTTTTTATTTTTCTTTATAACTTCAGTGATATAACATCAAAATAGTTTAATTCAGAAGTTTTATGACATTGATTTGTAGCCATAAGCAAAATAAAATTTACTAAGTAGTGTTTCAGCTGAGCCTTACGTTACATTTATGTATCAGGCATAATGCTTAAATTAGCTTACTGTTACTAATGTTATAGGGTCAGTGTTTAAAAAGTTTGGAATGTCAGCACTATGTTTTCTACTTCCTGACCTAGAATATGGTAAAAAGGTTCAAGAGTGCTATTTAAGTCTCTTTCAGATTGCACATGTACTTTTGTTCAAGATACCATTTCATTTTTCTGCATACTCTTTATTAAAAGCTGACAATTAAAGAATTACTTTGAGACTGATAAAACAAGTGAAGAGTAGGTGCATTTTGGAGGTACAGACAAATCTGTTTTAGTTAAATTCTATAACTTTCGTTAATCATTTGACAATGGATTTCTGTCATTTTTGACAGGCTTTTATACTAGCAATAGTATGGCTACATGGTTGTTACAAGGTTGGTTAAAATAATTGTGTCCATGAACAAAAAATGTGTTAAAGAGTACTTGATAATTTTTTTTCTTTGTGATCTAACTGATAGGTCATTTTTATTCTATAAAAAGAAAATATAGAACAATTCTTACCAACTGCCCTGTGATGAGCCATTGAAGGTCGTACTAGTGGCACCGGTGTTTCAGAAGAACATACTGAATCTGGATGTGGGCGTGCCTGATGGTTACTAGAGCTAGATTTAGGATCACTGGGAGTGAGTGTTCTTGATTCTTGAAGATGCTGGAAATTTCTTTTCAGAGTTGACTCCTGGTCAACTGGTTCAATAGAGCTAAATAAAAAAAAAAATTATACATGCATGTCTTTATGTTCTCTTTTGTCTCCAAAATTCTTAAGGCCACATAACAAAGTATCTATCACTGAGGAAAAAAATATAAGCTATGTATAAAGTACATATTTTAGAAACTTCATTTTTAATATCCTTCAACTTATGAGGATTATGTAAGTATGTATATTCTATGCCATTATGAATAATCCATACAATTTTTAAGTTGCAAAATCCCTTTGTTTGTTTGGTTAATCAACTTCAGAGTGTAGGTGTAGAGCATTAAAAAAAAAGAAGAAAAAACGTAATGCAGTATTGAGCAAACAAACCTTGGTTCACCCAATACTTCGGTGTCTTCCTCTTCTCCATCACTACCACTATAACGATAAACTTCCTGAGATTCCCCTGAAAATTATCCAGTTTTTAAACACTAGGTTCAATATGCAATAATACCTGAAAAGTTATTACTTGGATCATGTCTGATATGGTGTTCACAGAAAAAAATATTATTTGCCATATGTGCAAGACTGGCAACTTTCCAGATTTTATTTTTTTTACCACTGTTAATTTATAAATTCAGAGTTTGTAGAAAATCAACAATGTAGCATTTCTGAAGTATTCTATTACAACTTTTTTGGTATGCTTGAGTACAGTATATTACAAGGCAAGACATTAAATAACAAGTATCTCATCAAATATTTATATTACAAAACAAATAGAATTGCTATAGTTAGTTATGCTTCTAACAAAAAATAAAAACTTGTTTTAAATAAATACAACTACATGAATTAAAAATTTTAAAGCATTTTCTATCTAAAATCACCTTTACATTATAAAAGTTTGGAGACAGCTTGAATGGGTAGTGAATAAAACTTTATTATAAATGTACAACGTTGCACATTTATAATAAAGTTTTATTCATTACCCATTCAAGCTGTCTCCAAACTTTTATTTTCTGAAAAGTGGGTTCCTCATCATCAAACCTTTAAATTATGTATCTACAATTGAGTAACCTCAACTTTCTGCAAAATAGAAATCTACATTTTTACAATCTAAATATCTTACCTCGCTTATGTTTACGGCAACGATCAATGTGTTCTTTCAGCTGGTTGCGGACTTGCCTTTCAGTAGGTTGGTCCCGAATAAAGGAATTTTTTAATAATTGGTCTGTGTAAGGACGTTGTTGGTAATCTTTCACTAGAACTGTTTCAATGAACCCGTGAAATTTTTTAGACCATTTCTTTGACTTCAGCCGTGGTGGAGGGTTTCTTGGAATTAGGAACAGAGCACGCATAGGATGCATGTCACAAAGAGCTAGAACACAGTAGTAGTTTTTTTTTTAAGCCTTCACTCTTTTTCCTCATAAAGGAAGTCAATATAATTAATCATAAACACAAACTTTCGATACTTTTGGCAGAGTAATGTACAGAGATTAATACTCTCGCTACAGGCTCAGTCAAATCAGCTTAGTTCATATTACAATTTTCTGGCTTTCTAACCATAAGACACGAGCCATTAAAAATTCAGCTAAGCTTGTTGATGTGTTTCCCATGGGAATAAAATTTGAACTTGGAGTGAAACAGACAATTCTCTGTACAGGAAACAACATAATATAATACATCATTTCATAGACAAAAACTTTGGCTTTCTTTTGGTTGTGAATAATAGTATCAAATATCAGAGAGAACTATAGGCCATTTATGAAAGAGAAGATGTAACAGGTGGGTTTTACAACAGGAGTCTGATTTTTTAGTTTATAGCTCTGTAACCAAATAAGATTGAAGGCTCTAAAAATTGTGCTTTGCCTGAGTAATAACAATATTATAATGAGTAATTTATGTTAAATTTCATACTTATTGGAGGGGTGGTTAATAAATTAGAGAATAGAGGATACCTAGAGAACAAATGTAACTATTCTCGTACTAGGAGAAATTAGAGGTTTTTTTTAATATTGCCTTTTTAAATTAAGAAGTTAAACTTATATAATATAAAGATTTGGGTTACTAGCTGTGTTTTGATTGCAAGTTTATTTGTATAACTTGATAATAAAGTACTTTAATTAAATTTTGAATGTAACTCAGAAAAACCTCATGACATGTGCAGAAAAGGATACCCACATGGAAAGAGTTAAACAACCAACCATATTCTAGTGTTACTCAAAATTAATCAATTACTTCAACAGTAAGTGTACTGGTGTAGTAAATTAAGAGAAAAATAACTAGCATTTGTTAACGAATGTTACACACACATATGTATATACATCTGTTACCTGCAAGTTACATTTTAAAAGAGCATTTTATAAAATTAATCTGTAGATTTTGTGTTTAAACTTCTTAAAAATAAATAAAACAACTTAGTATTATGTTCATCTTGGTTCACTAAATAACTTATAATTGGACTTTTTTCATTGTATTATAAGATACACTTGTAAAACATAATTGACAAGTAATAAACGTAGATTTATATATACACACACAATATATGAAAATATTTAAACTGATGTTATTTCGTAAACAGTAAGACAATATGTTATGTGTATTTCATGAGTTTAAAGTCAGTACTACAAAAAATGTCATCAGTACACTAGGTTTCTACAATGTAATCTTTAAAATATGATTATACATGATAAATAATTCACAAGATATATGACAGACAGTCAACGTCTTAATGTCATAATATCTAGAACTGAAGAAGCAAATGTCTGTAAAAAAAACCCTGTAAAAACAAATGAAAAATTGTGAAATTTACAGCAATAAAGTCCCAAATTCCAAACACCCCAAAGAGGACTCTAAGACAAGATTATTATGACCAGCTTATCCACATGCACGTCAACATACTGTTGCAAATACATTCAACCAAATTTATAATAAAGAATGTCAGAAAATACCCTATATTTTAAACAGAAAATCTTGCATCAGAATTTCCCAGATAACTCTGTTGCATAAGAATTAGAGATTATAGTACACATACTGAAAAAGGTAAAAATACCTACAAGCAAGGAGGAAAACTGAGCTATTAAAAATCTTCAAAATAACTCCTCTGTTATTATTTTATCAGTTGACAAAGGAAATTCAACAGTTTTTATGCTATAACATTTAAATTAGTAAGCATAGGTTAACAAAATTTGGCAGATTATCAGTATATATATTACAATGCTTTCATATGCAAAATATCAAATTCTTTAAGTCTTAAGGTTGGTTATGCAATGTTTTTCTCATGCCTTTTTTCTTTTTCTATGTTGTCTATCCAACATGAAAAGTAATTTTCATTTTAAGATTAAAAATACTTTTTTGCATCAGAAAATTTTCATATTTCACATACGAAATCTTTACAATGTCCAGATAATTATCAAATGTTTTTTAAGAAAAAAACTTTATATTTTATCTGTTATTTTAACTAACAAGTCTCTGTACGTGTTTGGAATTTGGGACTTTATTGCTGTAAATTTCACAATTTTTCATTTGTTTTTACAGGGTTTTTTTTA